TGAGGATGGACTTCAGCAATCTTCTTTTTGAGGTCTTTCACACGTTTGAGGACATTCACCCTTTAGCATCCCTCGTTGCGGGTCCTACTCGTTTCAACGGAATGGTCTTAGCAGTGCATCCTGCCTTAGGGGAAAACTTGAATTTATAGTACGATGCTCATATATGCCATGGATACCCCCCACCACCATTACCCATCCCCATCCTACCTACAAGCTATTCTCAACTTTCACACTCTTTTGAAGTTTTTTTTTCCCGTTCTTCTAATTTTTTCCCTAGAAAACTTACCGTCGAGCGGAGAGAGAGGGTAGCGTACCTGAAACAGAAGACCAAGGAAAGTCAAGACTAAAAACGTTTCCTCAGGCTGAATACGACCCCTCCCCTTCAGCGACCAGATACGACCTCCCTTGCTGAGGATCCTCAACCAGGATGCGGCATGCCCTGATTGTGCAGCTGTTTGCTGTTGAGACTGCAACTGCTAGTCGGCGAAAGTTATTGAATGGGCCGGTACGCTTCAAGGACATGCTCGAAAATGGGGAGGTCTGGGCAGCTCAAATTTCTGAAGAATAGTAATCAGTGATCCAGCAGTGAACAAAGAAGTAGAAGAGACTTGCCGGTGACCATCTGACATCCCCTTCTGAACCTCGTTTGTACAACATGCATAAGGCGAAGAAAGGGCGTGGTCGGACGAGTTCTCGCTTGCTGGTGCCAATGTTTTCTCTATTCCTCACACTCACTATTCGAAAGGGTGAGTCAGTGGCGGAACGCAACATGATAGTGAAAGCTGGGCGTCACTGGGCTAAGTGGGCGAGGCTGCGGTTCCGTCGCGAAGAGCGGCGCTTTCCTCGGGTATTCTTGAGCTGCGAAAGGAGTACATTCTCCACTCTTGTGGACAGGACTAGCATATCCAACGAGGGTGTTTGCGCATCAGATGAACGCAGGGCGTTCCTTCAATTAGCACGTACTACTCAAAAGAAGGGACCATGTACGCGGCGCATCCCAGAAAGGTGCAGTGCTAGGCATGCGAGCATGAAATGCGTAGGAGCCATTGTATTTTGAGATTTTGATTGCTTCTTGTTACACTAGATGACTTCCCTTGAGACAAGCCTTGCACCATTCTTATCATCTCAGCCATCTCTTCGAATGTGTGTTTCGGAAAGTTTCGGAAATTGTTTTTCCCTGATAAGTTCCGAGTCATGGGACTGTGCTCAGTATTTAGAGGCTCAATGACCGAGCTGTACGGTACTGTTTGTGTGTTTTCTTCATCTTCGAGACGAATATTTGCTTTTGCCAGCGCCAAAAACCAACATGATCTCTCGCAAACTCCGTGATATTCTTGTCGCTTATCGCACGTATTTACCCTTGAAGTGTCTTTTGGATGAGCTGCCGCGCCTTTTGCTCTGATTTTCCAACATGTTCCTCTTCGTGCTAACTTACATCTTTAGTCCTAGATTCCGAATGCTATTCTATTGTTCATGGTACAGGGCCAGTTGACCCGTTTCATCAAAGGCATGGCTAACTTATCAGATGCCTCCATACCAGTAAAACCTCCCCTTCTTCCTGGTTGAGTTTATTGTTGTGAGCTTGTCGAACCAAATTGCCTGGTCTGCTCAAGTCATATGGAGAAACGAACGCTTCTTGACTTTTCTGAAGGGAATAATGTCTTATGATGCGTCTCACCTCTGTTATCAACGTCGGCTCTTCTTCTTGTATTGATGGCCCATCAGTGCTTAAAAATGGCTCAGTAGGAGGCACCCTAAGTCCTCACAGTGTAGGGCACATATCTCAAAAAAAGGTTTTACCGAATTGTCCCCTCGGAGGGTCCCACAGTCGCGCACGCAAATCGCAGTTCGGCATTCGGCGAGGGGGCATTTGCACTTTTGTTGCTTCACTAGTTCCGGTTTACAAGTCTCACTCTGGTGAAACCTGTGAACTCTTGTGAAGCTGGAGCAAGCTCGTCGAGCCACCACGTGAAACCTGTCAACTCTTGTAAGCTCTCTAGATGGGCCAACACGTCGATGAGAAGTAAAGTGCAGAATGTCCCCCCCCCTCCCAGTCGTCAAACTGTCCCCAAACACGGGCAAGCCGTTTATACTCTGCATAATAGAGTTTGGAATGTCATCGCGATTGCACTGTGTTGGCAGGAGTTCTGTCATAGGAACTCTAACTTGAAATAATCTGAATAATAATAATATGCTGCAGCCGATGATGTGAGCAATAGTACGCAAAGCAGTACACTTCCTGTTAGTACCACTCACTTGCCTCGTACTTCTTCTTTTGCAATATTCACAAGAATTGCGTCGTCTACCGTCAGCTCCGACCCCGGACGCCTCCATAAACTCGTTTCTTCTACCACCCTAGCTCAGCATAAGAGCAGCCGTGGGAAGTAGGGAACTCTAGGAAACTAGAATAGGCCTAGGGAACTAGAATAAAGCAGCTGCATAAGTGCGAAACCCCCAATTATCGGACAATCTTCCACGACGCCAGTGCTTTAAAGGGCTAGCTTACAACTTTGAAGACGGAGCGACGTCTGGTCCATGTGAACTCATACTACCCCTACCAAAATTTCATACTCTGATACGATCCTCTTTCCCACCCCCTGACAACCATCTTCCTAAATTCTCCCATTTTCTTACCGCTTTTCCGTAGTCAAGAGTTTTCCCTAAAAACTGCCAACGGGGGGGGGGATCGTATATAGCGCACATAAAGCGGAAAAGTTCTAGCGAGTCAGCAATTGCAAACACTTCCCACAAAGACAGTCGCGTCTCACTTCCCTGCAGCGACCCCGAATACGAATGCCTCCCCTCGCTGGGGATAGCCAAGGTACAACGTGCCCTGCTTGTTATAAAACCCAGGTATATTGTTTTTTTATGGGAGTCATTTAACTCTAGCCGTTTTTGGATGATACTCGAAGTATTGTAACGACTAGTACCAGTAAGTACGGTAACCTCGCTAAATAATCCTTCTGTAAAGGCTTTTTCACAAGACTCGAGCTATATGTGAGTACTTTTAATTGTTTAACGGGAATGTTAGCATTGTTTTGACGGGGGTCCTAGCACGGTTTTTATAAATTGGCACTTTCCACAGTATAGCATAAATCGTTTTTTTTCAAAAACAAAATTATAGTTGTTGAAGCCTTTTTCGATTGGTTGTCCTTGACTTCGACAGATAAATGTCGATATCAATGCCACGCCACGATCATGTTCTTTCACATACCCGTTTTGTTGGTGTCATAACTGATGGCTTGTTTGCTTGTTTATTTTCTTTTTTGTAGGGTACCGAACTGTGTTTATTTTTCGCCATAAATACTCAGATTTTATAATCTCCGCTTTACGCCTTTCTGCTGGTTTGCTTGCCTGCTTCATGGGATTAAATGCGTCGCATGATACGGGAACATTTTCAACCGGTTTTCAAACCTAGTCTGTCTACCAATGAACATTTGGGGAGGGGTTTGCCGTGATTATGGTCATTATCCCTCATAGGATAGGCCCACATTGCATTAGGGCTGTGACTATTGTTTTGAACAGATTGATTTCGTATTGATTTTCAGTGTATTTCAATCCAACATTTTTGAAAAACGTATCCTTAGGTGCTACTGGACGTGAGAGGGGGGGGGGGAGAGAAAGAGCAGTGGCGAGACGCATCAGGCGCTACAGCAGCGTTCCTTGAGGAGAAACCCAGCAGGGTCGAAACGCTGCTGGCTGGGGAGGGGCTCGTATAACGACTTCTTGGCCTTGCCCGCTCTCCCCCTTCAGTCTTGCACCTATGCTTCGCTGTTATGATAGTTGAACAGTATCAGGTGATTTATGACAGATCTCCGCCCCTCCCCCTCAGATGTACGGCATTTTTTTTGCTACTCTTCTTACTTTATTATATGTTTTGCAACATGTAAACTGATCAACAACGAATAATGAATACAATACTTATTTGGGAGGGGAGGGGGGACGAGAGGAAGATAGCGAATTTTTTGGAAACTGGGAAACATGGGTAGGGCGGATTTGGAAGATGGCCTTATGTAATACCAGAGAATGGGGTTGTTACCACAATCGAGGAAATTGGGGGAGGGCGGTCCGAACCGACCATCCGCGTTTCTCATGATCACGGTGTACTCTGGAGGCCGGGAATGCGCCGCTTCTGTCGACTCGAGGCTTTCTAACTATAAGACTAAGCTCACCGGCAGGAAACGGCTCACGGCTCGGTGAGGGAATCAGATGGGTCCAGTCCCCCGTCTCCTCCTCAGCCGAGAAGGTAGCACCCTTAGCGGTTCTATTTTCTGTTAACAATTTGAAGCACCGCTCAAGAATTACAGTTTCGCTCTGTTTCTAAAGTCGTAATATTGTTTACGTCATTGAACTGTTAGTGGGTGAGGTCCTCACTACGTTTTTTCTTTGAAATTTTTTTCTTTCAGGTCTGCTACTCAGGTTGCGCCGTGTTCCTGTTAGCTACGTCTTAGTTGTTAGGAAAGGTAAGTATCGTTTTCAGATAGTTTTCCTTCCTAAATATAGGTTGACTTTTACTTAGAGAACACACTCGCGAAATGAAAAATCGTGAAGACTTCGCTCAGATGTACCTGGTTGCTGTTCGGCTTCTAATAGGCATTTTGCACTTTCGCTAGATCCTTTTATTAGCTCAAGTTCTGACAAATCTCGATTTGGCCAGACCTGCAAATTCTTGTAAATTGCGAACTTGTTCGACTGAGCCACTTTGTTCACAAGAACTTACAGGTCTTTACAAGGTGACCTGTACAAACTTTCCTGAGTACCACTTTGTGTCCCCATCTAGCCGAATTGCGCCTGAACTTATATGTAGTAGTGGCAGATAGTTTTGATTAACCAGCTGACAGGCGAGCAGAAGAACCGTCCGCACTACGCATCAAGCCAGGCGGGGCTGACCTGTTCGGCAGCTGAAGGGCATGCTGTGCACATAGAGGCAGAGAACCGTTTGGCTCTTCTGACAAAAGTCAGAACGTCCACAGGCTATAGAGTGCATAGAAGCACAAGCTATGAAAGTGGAAATCCCTGCTTTGGGTGGGGATATACTGGAGAGGGTGTGGACAGATCTAAGTCGTGAACTTCTTATGTAATTACTGTGCGCAAAGGTACAGCATCGTTGTGCGAAACACAGGGGGGGGGGTTGTACTTCGCTGGGAAGGGGTCGTATTTGGTCGTTGAGAGAGGTGAGGGGACTCATTGCCTCTGAAAGAAGTTTGCGGCATTGGGAAATTTTTTTTCCTGTTGTTGACTTTTCGCGTGATTTTGCCTGTTTCATGTGTACTATTTACTCCACCTCCCCGATCGAGAGCAGAATTTTTGGAGAAAAGTGGGAAAATTCCTGGTAAATTTTGGAAGTTTGGGATAATTTAGGGAATTCTCCCGTTTCGCATTGGCTATCAACCCCCCTCCCCCGTCCCCTGCCCATCCGTTCGACGGGAAAATTTTTGAGTGAAAAACTGGAAAATGTGGGGATTGGTAGGTAGGTGTTGGGGAAAAGGGAGGGTCATACCTACACTACCATTTCACACATTACGATGCTGTACCCTGCGTGCACATTTGAGAGGTGAAATGGTACTTTATATGCAGTTGTGGACCTGGTTATCGTAAGCCGGGAACTGATCACCTATCAGAAAGTCGTAGAGTGTGTCTTCAAGGCTAATTTTTGCTAACAGAGTCAACATAACATTGATTACTGTTCAACAATTGGTGATGTGTTTTTAATAACCTGAGATAATTTGAAATTTTCAGTTTTTACGAAGGGCTAAGTGACCACGAACGAGCTCGCCGTGTTCAGAATTACGGCACATTTAGAGGTGATCCAAACGCTGTTGCAGGAAGAAATCTAGCAGGGGTTTGTTGTGTACCGTTTTCATGGACATGTCCAGAAAAATGTGCTACTTTTTATTTTGTATTTTACAGACTGACGTCGCAGCGGACTGTCTACAGTGGTTATTTTCACAATTTACCAAGGGTTCTATATTCCTTGTAGCATTAGTGCTTCTTGTGGTCGCTTGTCAATCACATCCTGTTCTATATACGATCGGATTCTTCTGTATATGGTCATTGTTGATAGTTTACTTTAAGGTAAGTTATTAGTGGTTTACATGCAGTTTCTCCTTATAGCTTCTCCGTGGAAGTCTTCTTCGTGTTTTTATTATTATTTTTATTCAATTTTTGAAGTTTTGTTCTTTATTTGGCGGTTGGTAAATTGGGAGGACACTTGCCAGTGCCTTCGGACGCAGTCCATCTTAGTGGGGCATCAAATAGTACCCTGCGAGACCTGTACAGGCCACCCTGTGAAGTCCTACAATTCTTGTAGCCAGAGGACCCGTGTACCATTTCGCAGCTTCACGAGTGTTAACCTGTTAAGTCGCATGAACTAGCGAAAAGGCTGGTGAAAGTTCAAAATGCCTCTCCCAAGCAGCGCCGCTTCCTCTAATCAAGGCTTAGACTCAGTGGGGACTAAGTCTTCTCTGCGGGTTAGCATTCGGCGACCTCTAGTCGTCTGACGCTCTGAGCCGAAGCTTTTTTGGCGAAGGCAGGGCATACGTACGCTGAGGATTCGCAACGAGGGAAAGGAGATCACATTTGGGTACGATGGAAATTGGGTGAATTCAGGAAGAAGGAAGGTAGGATAGTAGGATGGGGA